CGTAGGTTCTATAAATTTACGGAATTTTAATGTTCATAAAATTTTCAGAATATTTTGCCTATTAAAATTTTCTGATGATATACTACATTCCAATGGATAATCTTGTTGTGACAATTAAGAAATTACGCATACATGTTCAGAAAAATGAAGATTATATTGCTTACCTGAAGAAAGAGCTTACTACAAGAGATGATGAGATCGATATTTTGAGGGTACAGGTAAATAATCTTAAAATAAGACTTCGGAAAGCAGAGGCAGATATCCAATCCAAAGAGAGAAATCTATCTGCTATCGAACTTCAGTTATAAGATATGAGCAGTGAATTATTCTCCCTTCAATATAGAATTCAAAAACTTCGGGAAACAATGACATTGGACATGGCACACCTACCATCCACAAATACATCAGTTTTCAACTTAATAATAGATGTGCAAGCAAATATCAAGCTTTTAGGTAATTCAGCTAGGGGTGATAATACTTTTTTAATAGATGAAATTAATAATCTCTAGACTCAAACCGAATTAGGATTAACGAAAATTCAGAATGGGTATTATACTTTTGAAAATGAGGTAACTCAGTTAAGGCAAGAAGTTATAAATTTAAAGGATATAAATTCCAATCAACAGAAGTTAACCAATGAGCTGAGTACATTAAATGAAACTCTCAAAGAACAGATAGATGTGCTATTTGAAAAAAATGAGACTATTCAAATCAAATTAGACGAGAAAGCGAAGTTATATGAACAAGCCCAAGACCGGTTAGATGAATGTCGAGATGAATGCTATCAAATAAGAGAATCTTTGAAAGGGGCGCATGAAGATATTTCAGAAGGTAAGTTTGCATTTGATGAGTTAAAACAGAAATTGCGCATATTAGGATTAACCCATATCATATGGCGAGCTTGCAATTTAATACAGGCCCAAATTTTAAATGTGGAATTTAATACAGCAAGAACCGCTTGGAGAAATCAAAGAGATAGAAATCGGCATATTGCTCAAGAATTGCAAAATTGTCAGGAGCATGGTATATACCTGCCACCCAAATTCAAAATCCAAATGCCAAAATCCCAAATGCCGAAATCCCAAATCCCAAATCCCAAAT